AGCTTGCTAGGAGGCTGGGATTTATCTTAAAGAGGTTTGATGAAGCCAAGGTAGCAAAAAGTGTTAAGTGAGGCGAGGGTGAGGGTGGTGGGGAGTGGAGAACATGAATGGCCTTGGGCCATGGTTGAAAAAGTAGAAAGGTCACCAAGGGTCTGATGGCTGAGGAGGTGCTATGAGGGGTGAGGGAGGCATCCTGTGGGGCCAGCCAGCCAAGCTTCCCCACCTAGCTCTGAGGCTCATCTGTAGCAGTCACCTGCCTCTCTGGGCGTGGTGTGAACACCTGAGCTAATGCAGTGAGACCTGTGTCAGGCAGCAAGCTGTCCGAGAAGGAACACACAAGCCTTCCCACTCAAACGAGTGATAGGAAAGCTGAAAACTCCGAGACCCGCCCTGTTGTGTTTCGGCCTTCCTCGGTTCCCCTGTACGCTTGCAGCAGTTAGAACAAGAGCCCTGGCCCAGGTGTGATATCCTGCAGCGAAGGCCTTGTTGGAGTTAGGCGAGGCTGATTTTTCAGCCGAGAGGACCTTTAAAAAAATGTTCTTCACAGCAAGATTTGGAGAAGGTATAATCAAGCTGACATGACGAGAGTTGATGCTGGTCAGCTCTGGGAGGTACTTTGGATGAGTGCCCAGGGACCAGAAGAGAAAAGTCCCCTGGAGCCATGCAGACACGGCCATGCTTGGTCTGCACACGGGCAAGATAATAGGGAGCCATCGTGGGTTCTTGAGGCAGGGAGTGGCATGAAATATCAGCGTCCAAGCACAAGCTTCCCTGCTTTGATGCGTCTCCAGTAATGGGAATCGAGCCTGCTGGCCTTCTGCTGACTTTCAGGAGAAGCATATGGCTTCCAAGTGCCTTGCTGGCAAAGGGCAAATGCTAATAAGATACACTCGCCTGCCAGTTACTTATCTTCACAGAGCGGCACTAAAGATCTCCCCTCTGTGCTGCAGATTTCCTGTGAATAATCTCATGTGCCTGTGACGGGCGTGCTCCGCAGCCTAGTGGAAGGGATTTGGCTTCGGTGGCCAAGCTCACGTGTCAGCAGTTCGAACTCACCAGCTGTAATGTAGGAGAAAGAGGAGGCTCCCTGCTCCTGTAAAGATTTGCAGTTTTGGAATCCCAAAGGGCAGTTTTACTTTGTCCCTTGGGGTCGCTGTGAGTCAGGCTGGACTTGATGATAGGGAGTTTGGTTTGTTGTGTTTGCTTTTTTCCCCGAATTATTGAGCACCAGCCCTAGGTGGCCCTCTGCCAGCCCTGGTCTCATCTCTCTCCGAGTTCTGGGGACACATGTCGAGGGACTGGCCTGCAAGTCATAGCCAGCACTGCCCCATTGCGCCACTGTCAGATGGAACCACTGCCAGGCCAGGGTAGACTTGAGCAGGGTGCACCTGTCCTGTCGGGTAGGAAGGGCTGGCTGCGTGTCAGCTGTTGTGTGGGTGTCTCCGCATGAACAGTTCCTCAGTAGTTAGCACAGCCGGGAGCGATTTGGCGCACACCGCCCCGGGCACTGTGCTGGGCTCCCTCTGGGAGTGGTGGCTCTGCGGTCAAGATGGCTTGTCACCTGGGAGCTGTGCCAGTCGCTTCACCTCTCGGAGCCAACATCTCCTCTGTCAAGTGAGGACGGATGATGGCAGCATGTCCTCCGCTCGGAGAAGGAGCCCTGGTGGTGCACTGGTTAAGTGCTCCACTGCTAAGACTCCATGGGAGAAAGACCACAGGCCTGTGCTACACAGGGAGCAGTTTCCGCTCTCACACGGACTCGCCATGAGCCGACAATGGACTCGATGGTGTCCAAGGATGTCGATGACTGCTCTTGAAAAGTGGGCAGATGACATGAGAGGTGCGGGGCAGGCCCTCGGCATGGGGGCTCTGGCACCTTGCACAGGCTCATCTAGTTCGCCTCTGTTGTGGTTACAATACCGGTAGCCAAGGAAGGACAAAGACAGCTGGTTTGTGTCTCCTGCAACTAAGAGACGTACAGAGCAACACGCAAAGGCAGTAAAACCCTGTAGCAGCTTGTTGTGAGCGCCTTATGGGCATCAATGGATTTGGCTCCTCCTAACAGCCTTGCAAGGTGGGCTGCGTTCTCCTCCTTCCACTGCTGAAAAACAGCCCCGAGAGCTGAAAAGTCACACAGCTGGCCATCGGTGACCCCAGTCAGCCTGGCTCCAGAGTCTGCACCTCGACCCTTAGCGATTTACTGTGTAAAGGCTTCGAGTCGGGCTATAATGCCGCAAGACCCTTCGGCTATCCCAAGTCACTGACTTGGGCTCCTTTCTGGTGGTCCAGACACGTGGCCTCTCCCCAGGGGGTCACTGGGAGACAGAGGATCCGTTTCAGCCCCGTGGTGTCCAACTAGAGCGCGCCAGGCACTTGCCAACACTGGTGGTGGGTACAGCAGACAGGCAGGGGGACCAAGACGCCGCTGAGCCCCAAGAAGAGATGAGCTCCCCTGGGGGAGCATCCCCTGGGGTTTGTAGGGAGCCAGCCCTGCTCTCTTTGACCCCAAGGATTCCCCTCGCAGCCCGGGGCCGCCGGCTGCAGGAGAATCCTTGTTGCTTAACCTTGCTTTTTCCAAAACGCATGCCCGTTGCCATCTCCACAGTGGGGCCGGGGAGGGTGGGGTAGAACAGCTGCTGGTTCCCAGGGAAGGGGAATCCCAGCTGGTGCTCACATTAAGACAAGGTGACAGCCTCCTGGGCTAATCTTAGCCCCACATTGGGTCATCAGCGCCACGGGCTCCAGCAGTCTTTTTATAGCCGAGAACCAAAATGGAATCGGCACTTCTCACTCCAGCCAAGATGACAAATGGGAGAGCGGTGGAAAACCAGCAGAGAGGGCAGCACCGTGTTCTGGAGTCAGAAAACCCTGGTGTTTTGGAAAATGGCAGTGTATTTATAGCAGCCGTAATAATAACGGTGCTAATATTATTTTCTTTGCTATTTTTAATTCGTTTTGCGGCTTGCAAGAACTTGTAAGGCCTGGCCTCAGCCCACCTCTCTGATCTCAGCGTTTGCAGCTCGCTCCCGGGGCTGCTGCTCCTTTTGCCTCTTCTGTCCTCAGTCACCCTGAGCTTACTTCTCACTCAGGAGCTTGCCTCTTGCCTTTCCTCCGCAGAACGCCCCCTTTAAAACTCAAGACACACATTTGCAATCCTTTATGAAACAAAACACGCAAGCAGCGTTGAACTAGATCCCTGTGTGCCCTCCCTGGCTAGCTCTCTACCTGCCCCAGTAGACAGCCACCATATTGAATTGTGTTTGTCCGTCAACACACGGGCCACCATCACTGCGTGCAGTGGCACCTTGCAGCCTTTACGTTCCATCACCCAATAGATCCATCCTGCTCATTTTTGCCTACAGCTTGGCTGCTCCCCCATTCAGGGTTGTCTTGGGGACTTATTTATTTGGGCTTCTGAGGACTGTACATACCTACTGCTGTCAAGTCCTTTCTGCCCCATAGCGGTCCCACAGGGCAGAGTGGACATGCCCAACACGGCAGATCTTGACTGAATCTGACTGACTCATCTTTCTCCC